GCCAAAGCCAAATACAATAGCAAAGTCCCTGATTTCAAATCCAGCGAAAAGGCTTACCGAAATTATCAAATCACTCTTTGTACACTTGTCAAAAAACGTTCATCAAACTTATTGTAACCGTGCTAATTTTATACACAAGGAACTCACTTTTCAAATCCCTAACTGATTATATCCCAACAAAACAAATCAATAAACAATATATAAAACTAGCATAAAAGCAGTGAACAAGATGCGATCTAACCATACAAACGCATGCTCAAACTAAACCGTAGAAAACTCTATAAAAGAGAACATGACTTCAGTAGCTTCAATGTGGGATATCAATAGGGTGCTAATTCCGTAAGTGAATTCGGATTAGATTTGGTTCCATTTGAGATTCAAGAAACGAACTGAATTGTCATTCATATAAATGGAATACTAAAACCCTTTTAAAGGGATTCAAATCTATGCAATTTATCTCTCCAAATGATCTATCCTAGTTAGATGATCTTGTTGATTAGTTTAGTTTGTTAGTGAGTGCTCAAAATCGTGCCAAATTGATTTGACTTAATAGTAAAAACGATTATTTACCTAAGTGTCAAGAAGTAGACGGAATGTGTGGGCTTAAAATGTCCAACTGAGTAGGTGAATGGAATAGTCTGCCACCTGGGCTGGGAACATTTGGACCCATTTGATTAATTGAATTCGCCTTAACCATGCCATTGGGCCTGATGTTGATGATCAAATAAGGTAAACCGACAAAATGTTCATATTAATTGCCAATAAATGTAAAGTCAATCACTCAACCAATAATTTAATGGACCAATTGATCAACCAGTGCACACTTGAATTTCTGTGGCGTGAAAAACAGGAAATGTTGGATGGATAACACTAGTCACAACCTGATTTTATCAAACTAATAGAGAAAATATGGATTACTTGGGAGTTGGGACTACTTAAGATTTTTTTATTGATATGATAAGTGTATTAACAACAAAGTAAGTAATCTACAATATGCGTATTATTTTATAATATGCTTAATATGTGTACTTATATTGAAAGAATGAATAGATTATAGATCGAAGAAAACTAAAAAAAATTTACGATAATTAGTCTAAAAGTTAGTATTAGATATCAGTAGTCGACCTTCAACGCATAGAAACATATCTCAGTTGTTGTGTCCAAACCTAATACACAGGGTACAACCCTTGATTTGAGATCTATCAAAACTTATGTCACCCAATTCGTCCATTCAGCCTGCACGCGCACGCTTTAGAGCGTGAAACCGCGAACTCCGGCGAAGTCGCATAAAATCCGCGAACTCAAAATTGCTGGAGCGTGAATTGATGAATGATGGAGCGCGATTTAGTATTACAAGTTGGAATCCTTCTCAATTATGTTGCCTTCTTGTTTGCTTCACGACGTGGCAATAAGCTTGGATGTGTTGCTTTGCTCCGGTCATCGTCAACTCCAGTTACTAGGTCGCCGTCCATTATAATTTCTCCGTTTCAGTCCGGCGCGCCGTAATTCACCGCTGATTGTAGCTTTAATGGCGATGTGCGGAAGATGAGGTCCATTTCAGTTGATGGCTCACAGATTATACAACTAGAGCAGATGCGTAACCGTAAGAAAATTCAATGAAAGAACAATCTCAAAGAAAACACAGGTGGTCTTGCCACCGAGAGAAAGGAGCCTGCAGGGAAGCAGGGGAAGAAAGCCAGGGGAAACAGGTGTCAATTAAGGTTTGCACGTGTCATAATTTACAAATATACCTATGGAATAGTAAATTGGATTTTAAATTGTTTAATCAAACTTAATTATTAAGAAAATATATGGAACACAGTGACCTGAACCCACCTTTCTTTTCTTAGCGTTGGGCTTCAACTAAGCAATTTGACCTAATGCTTCTAACCTTTTTTCATTTTTTTCATTTTTTTTATTTACATACATGATGTCTTATTAGACGAAGGTATGAAATACATAATAAAAATAATATAATATTGACGCTCCCACGACGCTCTTAACATTGAATTTTTGAAAATTAGACGCTCTGACGCTCCCGTTCCCGCTCTCGCTCCCGCTCCCGCTTTGCGAACTGGTTACCTAAATCAAAACCCTCTACCCAAATTCTCAAATCACTCTTTGTATACTTGTCAAAAACGTTTATCGAACTTCGTGTAACCCTGGATATTCTTATACACAAGACACACTTAAGTTTTTTGGATCCTTAAAAAAAACTCGTCGACTGTCTTCCAACCAGACATTCCAAGAAACCAAATGTAAAATTAACATAGATCAAATCGCGAAAAAAATGTGATCTAACCATACCAGATCGAGCTCTACACAACTATCATGATTCATTCATATCTCTTGAAACTTTATTTTCATAACCCTCGTCTCTTGTATATCTAACTTCATCTCTAATTTCGCAGGTCTCTCTTAATTTGGAGTATGTATTATACTAACCGAAACCCAAAAAGGAAGAAAACATTACTGATTTAAGTGATTAGCCTGAGCTTCAATTTCGTGTGGGTGAAGAATAAGCACTTGTCCGTGTTGTGGGTGAAGAATAAGCTTCAGTTTTCCATACACTTACGTACGCAGAGTAGCAATGAATGGGAGGAAGAATAGACATCCAGAGCACCATGACAAAAATGTCCAAATCCAGCAGAGCAAAACCAATATTTAACTTGCCATTACAGCTAGCTGTCGTGGGGAAGCTGGCTATAGCTCGATGGAGTGCTGATTGAGATGAAGTGTTTGAGACATGAATTAATTAGATTAACCCTGCCATTTTAGTGGTCAGGCAAGAAGATAATCCGCAATCTTCTAAAATGTGGATGGTTATATCTTTTGATAGTAAAAAAAAAAACCAACGTACTGATATAATCACGATGTAGATGACAACTGAATGTGTTTTGGTCATGGATTTTGCTCCCGCTACTCCTTGATCCCCATAGCACTGAAAAAATTTTGGGAGAGAGGGAAATGTTAGAGTAGTCAAAAGAGTTAAAAGAAAATACTACATTAGTGGGAGAAGGAAAGTGCACGTGGTTTTTTAAAGTTTGTTTTCCACTTTAGTTTGTTGGATAAAGTGGTTAGTGGGCTTTTGGAAAAAAGTGTTGATTATTTAATTTGACATATTAAATCGCACTACGCACTTTGAGCGACGTAACCCTTCGGAAGGGAACTGCCCCAACGTTCATTTTCTTCCCGTTTTCCTTCTCAAGAACACAAACACAGAAGTCCAGAAAAATTGCTGCTTTCGGACTTTGATAAACAATGAAAGTGACATTTTCAACCGTTTCTATTCTAGTAAGGGCTGAGGATTGCAAATTTGAAACACTTCACCCCATCAAAATCTTTGCTACAGTGTCTCTGAGATACTGTTCAATACGCACGATGATGCACCCACCAAGCTATGCTATGAAAGATGGTACAAATAGTACAAGAGTAGAAGAGTTTCATTTCTTTCACGAAGCAAGCCGACGGTTCCTTTCATTTTCACCCGACCACTCCTGTTTCTAGAGTACATGCATGGTTCCCAAAAGTAATGTTGTCAGTTCGCTTTGGTTTGATTAACGGAATCATTAAGCATGAAAATCACGTGAGATTGATCTAGTGGTAATACCACTAGTATTAAATCTTAGAGTTTCCATATCTGAATTCCTTAATTAGTAACTAATTACAAAAAAATAAACCCATCTCGCCTTTTTCTAAAAAAACAATCCGAAAAATCAAATTAAGCAAATTGTCAAAACCAAAATCATTAAGGGCCTTATGGGTTAATCATAAACCGACAAGTCTTTTGGGTATTGACTTAGTTGGAGTGTTATCAGCTTTTTATTGGTTTTCAAAACCGTAACCAAAACTCTAAGATGCTAAATGGTTTTAAAACTGAACCAAAACCATTAAACTTCTTATCTGTTTGATTTTAGTTGAAATCGAAAAATCAAAACCAAACCGACAGCCCTCTCCAAAAGTACTGCCTTCCCCACAAGGACGAGATGGGGTAAAAGAAAGTACTCCTCGTGAACTCTCTGCTACAACAACTCCTGTAAGATAGGGGTGGGAAACGGTGCGGTTGCGGTTAACTGCACCGCAATTTGCGGTTAACTGCAACCGCAAAACACTCATATTGGCCAACCGCGACCGCGACCGCAACGGTTAGCGGTTAACCAAAAACCGCAGAACGCGGTTAGCGGTGAACCGCGGTTTATTGTTGTGAAAACCGCAACAACCGAAACACCATATGAAACCGCAGTTAGCACTCTAACCGACAATTAACCGCGAACTAACCGCAAAAAAATCATGGAAAAGGCGGACGGGCCAGGGCCAGCTCACCCACCGTCGCAGGGGAACGCCGGACGGCCAGGGACGGCGGCGACCGGATGGCAAAGGCGCAGCGGGAAGATGAAGGGTCGAAGCTCCGAAGGGTTTTGGACTTTTGGTTTTCAGACTTCAGTTTCCGGTGGGAACTGGGAAGGGACGAAACGAAACGAATTAAGTCAATTAACGAAGGGTTATTGATTTTTGTTTCTTCAAAGTTCAAATCATAAGTCACTCAAAACGATTAAACGACGGCGTCGGCAGGGAGAAGTGGGGAGGGCCGGGTCGGGTTTGGGGGTTTGGGCTGCTGCCTGCTGGCCAGGCTGGGGGTGAATTATGGGCTGGGTTTGGTTTCGCGGTTAGCTATGCGGTTATATGGATTTGCGGTTTCGGTTGCGGTTAAACCGCAAACCGCAAAACAGGCCATATCTCCAACCGCGACCGCAAAATAGGCCAAATATGCGGTTTGCGGTTAACCAATAACCGCGCGGTTTCGGTGCGGTTGTCGGTTTAACCGCAAACCGCCAACCGTTTTCCCAGCCCTACTGTAAGATCATCATCCAGGCTCCAAGAATAAGATGCTCTCATCCGTCACCATTCGTCACCATGATTGTTCTTCCATCTTTGCGTACCCAAAGTGCAGTACTGCTGTAGAAATGTGATGACACCCACTTGCTTTTACTCACAATCAGACCCATTACGTAAAAGAAATGTGAGAGGAGATTCCCAAAATGGGCGCTTTGAATGCATTAACCAGCGTTTGCCAAACAAGGAAATCCAGTCACCCCAAGTTTCTGCAACAAAGCTACAGTTGTGCCTAGCCTAATCATTTGATACAACGACGAAAGAAGAAAACCCGGAAAGCAGCAAGAAACAGTATACATACTTATAAGACCAAGAGCAACCTTATTGCTGCTGATCAGCACTACCTTGCATCTCTCTTGTTAGTCGCAATAAACCAAACTAGTAATAATAGGAGACATCGGGGGAGTAGCGGCAGCAATTGCAGTCTGGAGCGGAGACTTCGCGCTGTGTTATTCAAGGCACATTCATGACTTGGATGGACTGCAACATGTCCGAGACGGCAATAACAAGGTCGCCGGATTTGATCATTCCTCTAGCCTTGAGCAAGGAGAAGGTCCTGTTGAGGTTGCTTTCCATGTCGTCGGAAAACCCCAGGCGGAAAGGTATCAGCCCCCACTGAAGGTTCAGCCGCCTTCGTACGGATGTCGATGTTGTGAAGGCAAAGATGGGGCAATCAGGTCGGCAGCGTGACAATAGAGATGCCATGTGCCCCGTCTTTGTGTAGACGAAAAGGGCATCCACCTCCAAGTTGTTTGCTGCAATTACACAAAATGAATAATGAATGCGTTGTCATTGGAGTGTGGGTTGCTGATTGATTGCATAAACAAGCTTCAAAAGACATGATAATGAAATGCTAGCAGATGAAGGGGGAAGAAAGATCCCTTCACACTATGCAAAATTTGAGGAATCTAAAATACCCATGCTATCAAATCAACCCGGTGCCGAAATGTCTAAGAAGTCTCGAACATTTTATAATTATATCCAGTTGAGCAGTAAACACAACTCGAATGTCTACCAAGATCCATCACAAGAACTCAGGAAACCCGGCATCACGTAAGTTACTCAGTCCTATAATAACCTTATAAAAGCAACAACAAATTCCGTTCACTATCACTCTTTATTGCACAAATCCTAGCATGGACAAAAACAACTCATCAGGAAATATAGAACCTTGGTCCAATAAGACAACGTCAGTTACTCAGTTCCATAGGGTCATGAAAATCTTGTAATACAAGCCACCACAATGTAGGAGGAATCAACTTCTAAGCCTTAAGGGGTTCTTTGGATGTAACATTTGTCTCATGGATTTGAGTTATGAGTAGAGGGTTTCTTCCAAGCCCCTGCTTACTGAAGCAAAACAGGGTTCTTGGAAATATATAAGGCTGAAAATGCGTGGGCCCAAGTGATTTCAAAACCTCACTCCTAGGTGAGGGTTTGTTAAATTCACCCCCCGAACATTGCCTACACCGTCAATGTTTTTTGGTTTATTCCAAAATGCTTTACAATGGCCCTCCTCATTCTATCTTGGTGAGGATTCTAAGGTCATTTAACCTTTAAAACTCACAATCCCCTACTAAAATCACTCGTGCAAAGAAAATTTCAAAATGGACAAATTTTTTACTTTTCAAATCCATAGACTCTGCACAATCCATCACTTTTCGAATCCTACATCCACACGATCCCTAAAGCATTTCAATTCCAATGGATTTCTTTGAGATAACTATATGTTGAAGTTTATTCTAGGGAGATCAAGGTATCAGAGAAATAACATAGCAATTTCATGATGAAATGGCGACTTACCCATCTTGGCAGCAGAGGTGCAAATCTCTTCTGAAATACGATCAGAAAATGATGAACCAACAGCTGGCAGTTCCATAGCTTCGTGGTGTTTCCCATCTCTCCACCACTTCTCAATTCTCACACTCACACTTCTAAGAACAGTCAAAGCCTTGTCTGGGAATTGACCCATAGCAGATTCACCAGAGAGCATCAATGCATCCGACCTTTGCCTAACTGCCTCAGAGACATCGGCTACCTCCGCTCTTGTAGGTGTAGGATACTCGATCATAGATTCAAGCAATTGAGACGCAACAATGACTGGTTTATTCAGTTGCCTGCACACCTCAACAATCCTTTGCTGTGCGGCCGGTACCTGTTCCAATGGGATCTGAGCACCCAGATCTCCTCTTGCTACCATAGCTCCATCTGATGCTTCAATGATCTCTTTCAAGTTCTTCAGCGAATCAATACTCTCTATCTTTGCTATGACTGCTATGTCACTGCTACCGAAAATAAAAAGCAAATGAGCCAAAGAGAGTTATTTATGTAGAAAACTAAATGAGTAAGAAGGCAACTGCAGCAGGAATGTACACATGTCAGTTTGGAATAACCTAAAAGTTTTAAACAAAGGCAGATGGTCTCATGTCTCTATCACAACATTCACAATCCGCACTAATAAGCAAGGTTCCCATAGTGCGAGCCTAGGCGGTGAGATGCCAAGTTTGCCATGGCACCTTGTGGCGCACATGGCGTGAGCTAGGGTCATATGTAAGGCTTTTGAACCTGTAATATGAGCTACCACTGAGAGGTTTCAAATCAAAGAAGAAAGATTCTGCCCTACTTTTTGCTTAGTGAATGAGAGAACGAAAATTCGATTTAGAATTAGGAGAGCTTGGTATGACTCATATTTCTTCTTTGGAGAGGAGAACAACCATACTGTGAAGACAATAACGGAGTAGAGAAGGTAATGCAACGCATCCTGGATGGAAGAACTATAATTGTTTTCTCATGACCATTCCTTCTTCTTAGGCTTCTGACAACAACAGGACACCTTCCAAATTTAAACTTTTCTTCCAAAGGCAACACAAGAAGTAAAGGCCGAAGAAGCTCTCACAAGACGGTGAATAGCTTTTCATAAACAACGTGATCTGTAAATGCAATTCAAACAGTACACATCTATTGTATTGAGGTACTTACTTATCACGAGAGCGTGCAGCTATGTAGCTCTTAAGATGGTTTATCACGTCAGCCGATTTCACAAATGATACTGCAATGAAGTCAACAGACTCTGCAATTCCAAAATCAATGTCCAACCAGTCCTGAAAGTAAAAAATCCTCGCATGAGCACAAAAGCAAAATAATGTTTGGCACAAAACAACAATGTCTACTGTCTCCAACGGGATGGATTTACATTTACTGAAAAACAAATAAATGAATTGCATATTCCCAAGTCCCCTGCAGCCATACAAAGGTGAGAGACGCACGAACCTTGGCTGAAATTGTAGGAAGCATAGCATTACGTTCTCGTACCAAACTTCCATCCCTCCAGAAAGTCAAGTTAGCACGGGGCAGCAACAACCCGGGATCAGTGCACATACATTTGACGTCAGGACCGATTTTTTCAATCACCTCAAACCGAACCATTCCACCATCCACAAGTAACTCATCCCCAACTTGCACATCTGCACCACATTGATAATAATTGCAAAATTAACCTTCGAGTTCCAACATGAAACCAGAATATTCCCAAACATCAGACAGCATAAATGATTCCCAAACGAAGAACTCACTAACCTTCTGCAAAACCATCATAATTTACAGTAATTGTACGTTCAGGGCGATTTCCATCATAGGCTCTCACGCTGAGAGTCCAGACTTCACCATCCTACACATTCATACCCGCACATTACATTTCATTTTTCACAATAATTTGAAGGCAAAATACATATGGATAGCCATAACTTTGCACTTTGTGACAAATATAGCCAAGTTTTGAAAAATACACTAAATTAGCCTTTCCGTCCATAATTTTAACGGTGCAGTGATACAGGCTTACTGGACTAACGTTTTTTGATGATGTGTCAACTTTTTCTTCCGACTTTGCCAAGTTGGAAATGTCTATAATTAATTAAAAAAATAAAAATAAAATAAAATAATTGAAAATAAATGGACTGCCTTCTATCACCGTCGCTTTACCTTCCCTTCCATCCCCTCCCTTCCCCACCGCCGCTCCATCCTTCATCCTCGTAGTCAAGATCCGAAATCCAACACAGGTGCAACGAGAGTTACGGTCTCGGCCAAAATCCCTCCTTCATCTTCTTCGAGAGTTAAGGCCGCAGCCTCAAAATCACTTCTTCATCTTCTTCGATATTCAGAGCCTTCAAACTTTAAACATAAGGGTGACGACGATTGAAGCGGGGATTGAGATCTATCAGTTTCTCTTCAATCAATTCTAAGCCTTTTGCTTCCCCCAACTCGAATTCGCTAAACCCGACAACAGTAACACCACGACGACGGCAGATTTCTTGATTCACAGAAGATCGACGAGTTCGGCTATGAAATCAGAGTCTCCGTCGCCTTCTTCCTTGATGCGTCGAATCCATGGCCTGGATAGACAGCAGCGAAGTCGCTCGACCAACTTTTTATTTGTTTTGCTTTGATTTGGCTGGTGCTTGCTTCGACTGCATCGGAAAGTGAAGCTCTCTTCTAGAGTTTGGTGAGCACTCTTTCTAGTTTCTGGAGTTGGGGGATTGATAGGCTAGGGGGTTGGGACTGGATTTTCTGGTTTCCTGGGTTTTGAATCCCTCAAAATCCCCAATCTATACATTTTGGTGGTGATTGTCAATTAATTGCAATGGAGATTCAGATCTACTTCTTTTCACCCACCCTAGTCGCTGCCAGAGATCTTTATCAGAGCTTTGTAATCGTCTTTCATCCCAGTAATGGCAGTTGATAGAAGTAGTGGAAGGAGATAAAAACCCTCATCGACAACGAGAGAGGCGGCAGAGGAAGCCAAGGGTTGGGGATGAGAAGATGTGTTCCGTCGGGAAAGACGATCGGAGCAAGTGTGGTCGATTATCGAGAACGAATTTTATTTTTGTTTAAAATTTGCATATGATGTGGCAGCCAAGTGATATGACATGGCGAGGTAGAGCTGACATGGAAGCTGAGATGGCTTCCACATAAGCATAACGTCCATGTTACTAACAGAGTCACTAACGACGTTAAATTGTTTAACGAGAATGACTAAATTTGTCAAGCTAGTTTTAAAAATGTGGCTATACAAGTGTATTTTTCAAAAATTGGCTATTATTGTCACAAAGTGCAAAATTATGGCTATACAAGTGTATTTTGCCTAATTTGAACTAACATGAACCCTGGAAGCCAAATGTTGAATATCTAGTTCGATAATCAGTAAAAGGCATAGTGAAAAGCCACTCGAAGCTTATTTTTCTCCATTGAGTTAATAAAACAATGTCCTTTACCTCCGCTTTGACGGACGGAGCACCGCCGAGATCTCCCATGTGAATCTCACTCCCTTCGGTATCCATCATAATCGCAACCGCATATCCCTTCTCCTCGTTCAACCTCCGGACGCGCTCAATCACCCGCTTATGCCACTCCCTAGTGCCGTGGCACATATTGATTCTCGCCACGTTCATTCCTCCGACGGCCAACGCTTCCAGCTGCTCGGAGCCACAGGTAGCCGGCCCGATCGTACACACCAGCTTCGTCCTCCTGCTGCTCCTGAACCCATTCTCCTTCAACTCCGCCTCCGTGACCTTATCCACATCGATTGAGCTGGAATCCGCCGCCGCCACAACCCGGCTCCCCGCTCCATTGTCGGCAACAACGACAGGCGGCGGTGCCGGATTGGGATCTGAAGACGCCGAAACGGCTCTGATCGAAAATGTCCTAGGTGAGGAAGCGAACGGTGAGCGGCGGTTGGGAAACGGAAGTGAAGGCTTTGGGAAGGTAATGTTCGGGCAGGCGGTGGAGGAAGGGGTGAAGAAATGAAGCGACTGAGAAGACATCTGGCCGGCAAGTGCAGAGCGGCGCGGTTTCCAGTTGCGTCACGTGGCCTGCAGACGGCGGCCGGAAGCAGAGGATTAATAGACCGCGTTTGGCTGCTGTGGCTGTGGAATCGAGGGAGGCGGGGGTTTAGCGAGGAAAATGGCGGATGCAACGAAGTGAATGAGATGGGAGCAGCTTCGTAGTTGTCGCCCTCCAGTGGGCGAAAAGGTACTGGAAAAGTCCAAAATTCTTGTAGTTGCCAAACGGATCTTTGAATAGCGTTGCTTGCAGCTGCAGGTGTTAAACGGGCCGACGGGCAAGCTTGGTTGGTGACTACTTGGCTACTTGCCTACTTGTTGTGATCATGAGAGAAACAAATTTAGGGATGGCAACAAAATCCGAATCTACGGGTGATCCAAACCCGGTCAATGCGGGTAAAACTCGTGTTGATGGGTTTCGGGTCGGGTTTAGGATTAAACTTGTACACTAATTATCGGATTGGGTTGGGTTTGAGTTTTGGGGATACCCAATCCATGAATACCCGGCCACATTTATTTCGTCGCACTACTCCCCAAACCCTACCCTAATTCTAATTTCCCCCAATCTAACTCTCATTACACTTATTTCGTGTGCTTTTATTTAGTGTAATTGTGATTTGTTTGAATTTTCTAGAGTGTTGTTTTATGTATGGATAATTTGTATGAGAAAATTGATGTTTGAATTTTATTTTGATAGGAACTTGTTATTATAAATTTTTTACCACAAAAACCCATGAGTACCCATGAACTCGCGGATACCCAACGGGTTGGGTTGGGTTTGAGTTTTTCAAAGCTAATAGGTTTTACCCCGGGGTTTTTTGACGGATAAACCCATGGGTTTGGGTTTGGCAAAATCTGACCCAACCCGACCCATTGTCATCCCTAAAAACAATCAGGTGTACTCAAGCCACTCGAAGTTCGGTTCGAATAAAACTTGTTCGATAATAGACACATTTAATTTTTTTTTGGCATTAGATCACTCTTACATAAGAGGAACAAACAAAGATCCGTAGACTTACAACAAAATCACGCCTACTGCTAAACAAAGAAACAAAGTCAAACCTCAAATAAATGAGGCGACAAGAACATAATATGAATGGCCACCAAATGAGCCGCGCTGTAACCATGGAACACAAACCATCGAACCCAGAAAAGTACAAACTACGACACCCGCAAAAACAACCTGAACAACATAACCCATGCAATGAGCAAAGTCCACCATTGCCACTCGAGTTGCAGAAGCCTTCCAAAGATCCAAATGAAAACCATAATAATCAACCCCGCGAAGCCATAATTTGTTGTCCAAAGCCATCACAACAAGTATACTACACATAGAAGAAAAAAAACATTTTCACCCTACAAGTGAACAACAAAGCATATAGGCTTTGGAAGGAAGAAATCCACCCCTCAAAAAGGGCAACCACCAATCAACAGGAGGAGAGTGTGCGTGGGGGAAACCCACGACTTCCTCAGGATCATCAATCGTGGTTGCAATCGAGATCCCCAATTCTTGAGCATCGAAGACACAACAACGACCAGAAAGCGAAGCAAGAAAAAAGAAACAAACCTCCATCCGCTCCTCATGCGTGGGTGATGCCCACGGCTACTGAAGCACACGAACAAAGGAACCAGAGCAAGTGGAAACGAAAAACATATCGAAACTATCCGCTTCCCTTCCTAATCTCTGTTTCAATAGACACGTTTATTAACAAATCGAGTTTGGAATAAATTTTGTTGACTTACAAATCTTGTGAACCATCTCGAATCGGTGACTTATTGAGCTAAACTATATCGTTTTAAGTTATGGCCTATAAATTGCTCGAAAGAATATTTGTTAGTTTTAGGGCCCCGAAAGAATATTTGTCTGACTATATGGGCTGGTAGCCCAGGACCTGAACGGTCCAATAACGTTATGAAGTTGTACGGCCCAATTGAGTCTCCCGTTACCCGCCAACGTGAGCCCGGGTTTCTCCCTCCACTTGCTGGTTGCTTTCCTTGCTTGACCATTCCTTTCTTCCTGCCTCTCATAGTCTCATGGTTTTTAAAGATTGAAAACACTTTTTATTAATTCCGTTTTGGTGAGAAAATCCAATTCTTATTCTGCTTACGCTTCCATTATTATAGACGGAAGAGTCAGATCGCGTAGCCTCTCTCTCGCTGTCGCCTCAACGCGATTACTCATTCGGCTTGTTGCTCTCTTTCGCTCGTCCGCAGCAGTTTTCGATCCTTAGCTCCAATCGAGCTCGCCTCTCTTCTGCGATTCGTACTCTCGGGTTTCAATCCTTCAATCCCTAGCTCTAAGGTTCGATCCGAAATTTCCAATCTTTGCGCTTCTACTGATGATTTGCACAATCTGGGTTGTGATGCTTTTTGTCCTGATGATTTGCATAAAATTATATTTACCCTTTGTGGCGGTCGTTCTCATGTTGGTTTGCCTTTCATTTGTGGTGCTGTAAATGATGGTTGATTGAATTTTGCTGAATTTGGGTATCTTGTTGAAATAGGAGGAGGAGGAGAAAGGGAGGAGGGGATGGGAGCATTCGTGTCTAGGTTTTGGTTCATGTTGTTTCCTGCAAAGGAGTACAAGATTGTGGTGGTTGGGTTGGATAATGCAGGGAAGACCACCACCCTTTACAAATTGCACTTGGGTGAGGTCGTGACTACTCACCCTACCGTTGGTAGCAATGTGGAGGAGGTTGTCTACAAGAATATACGTTTCGAGGTTAGCAAATTTGTTCAACATTTCTGCTTTCAGTTTTGTGCCTATTGTTGTGGTCGGTGAATGGCTACATGGATGACTATTGGTATATGTTTGTTGAAGAACTATTCTTCTGTTTAAGGCTGTGCCTAGATTATGCTTGGACATTTGGGTTTGGGAGATTGAATGGAAATGTAATTCTCTGAATGAGGAATTCATCTAGTTGCTGTTTTGTAATTACACATACAAGGAAGTGTTTGAATTGTAGACTTAATACTTTTTCGGTGATAGGATTTGTAGAACTGTATAATTGTGTGCATAGGTCTTCTGGTTGGCCTTAGTTTGTTGAGCTTGTGACAATTTTCTCTAGGGAAGACCCAGTATCCTAGAACTAGAAGTGAAACATGGTCTACTTTCTTATATATCTATCAACCTTCTTCCAAATGGTCTTATTGTTTTCTTAGCTCAATTAACTGCTTGTAGTTCCTCCCATTGTACTCTTCGATTTGGCAGCCCATATGAGATCTAATATGCTATGCCATCCTATTTCACATAGTAGAGAGGTGTTCTAATGAACCTAAATAACATACTCTGCACTAGGCTCTTGGCATCGTGAGTTAGGGTAAACAGGAGGGCCATTGGATGCCTGTTCTGTGTTTTTGTACTTTTTATTAGTTTTTGTAAAGCAACCTATTAAAGCAGATAAAGAGCTTCCTCATTTACATGTAGCTTTCCCTGGATGTTTCTAAAGTTTCAGTCGGGTTCAACTAGTATGTTATGAGAACATTGAGAAGTGAGAACTTTTCATCCTTGCCTTTGGACCTTTATCAAACTGCAAGATGCAAGGATCTTGAAACATGCCTCCTAGTCTTCTAAGCCAGGCCCATCAACATGGAGGCATTGGTGAACTTCTTTTGTTGGCCTTAGGTCTGCTTTTCGTGGTTTCCTTGTCCTACTTCTATTCTAGTCCTATTAGTCAGATATTCTGCCTGTAGACTAATTCCTTATGCAAGAAAAATGTGATAAAAAGATGGACTTTGTTCTGTGATAGCTTGAATTGTTAGTTAATTGCAGGCCTTCTATTCTATCTGATCCTTGTTTCCACGTTTTTGGAGAGAGAGAGTGAGAGCATCACACTATCTTCGGTTTTTAAGTCCCATGTTTTCTACATGGCAATCAATGACATAAAGTAGGTTATCTTATTAATCAGGTTATCATGATTTCTGATGGTTAGTGATGGTTTTAGTGATACGAGGAGTACATTGTTTTGTGATGGAGACAGGTATGGGACCTCGGAGGACAAGAGAGGCTAAGGGCATCTTGGGCAACATATTACCGAGGAACTCATGCCATAATCGCAGTCATAGACAGTACCGATAGAGCAAGGATTTCCATCATGAAAGAAGAACTTTTCCGGCTGCTGGGCCATGACGAATTGCAGCAGTCTGTTGTGCTCGTATTTGCAAACAAACAAGATCTGAAAGATGCCATGACTCCTGCTGAGATAACAGATGCTCTTTCGCTCCATAGCATCAAGAATCAAGACTGGCACATCCAAGCATGTTGTGCCCTCACAGGTGATGGCTTGTACGATGGCCTTGGATGGATTGCTCAGCGGGTTACTGGCAAGGCACCAAGTTAGATGATGAAAATAATGTAAGGAGTTACCCCGGATTGTGTACACCATCTGATTGTATTTGATATTTGTGCTTAAAACGGCTCTCGAAATCATTATCATGGTTTTATTGTTTGGCGCAATGAAAGCATTTGGTTAAAGATCTGCTGTGAAAAAATTATGCACAAGAAGAAGTATAACATCAAACGACTCTTTCTGAACAACTCTGTAAAATTCCTTTTTAGATCCTCTACCAACAATTAAGAATCGAAGTCCAGAGAGTCTGGAATCAGCAATGTGGCAGTGGGAGTCAGAGAATCCAGCACTTGCAGCCTTTGGATTCTGGGGGACCTTCGAACCATCGATCCCATGATGGGTTTATGGGACCATTCGTTCTGTTAAACACAACATATTGTTATTACTTAGAAACAAGCATAGTAAAGAGGCAAAACAAACGGTGAGGATTTGGTATTTACGTTTGCAACAGGGGATCAGGTCTGCTCTCTACATTGCTCAGCAATCTAACGTAAGAACAAGGAAACTACAGTTAGCTTACTGGATAAATTGCAGTCCAATAGAAGGAAGGATTATCTGCAAATAAAACCAATAAGGTGCACTCAGAGGTTCAAGCTTACTCCTTGCATGAAGCTGATGCTTTCCCTATCTTATCAAGCAGTTCCAGCTCTTCCTGTAAATATGTCAGATGGAGAACAATCAGTAGGCATCATTCGAGTTATAGTCAGACAAATTTGTATCTTTTGGATAGTTCAGTCACCACAAAAGCAATGAAATAACAACATTTAGAACTGACTGAGAAACTCTGTCTGCAGTCCTTACTAATTTGACTTGGCAAAGTTCCCTCACACATGCAAGCGAGCATATAACTAGCAGCTGAAAACCCTACAAGCAACCAACATCTTCACCTCAACAGCCAGCCTAACACACCTCTTTGCTTGAACAAACAA